GGTGCCCGTTGTCTTCTGCAGGCCGCCGAGCTGGGGCCAGGCCGTGGGGAGATACAGGATCTCGCCGACGGAGAGGAGCAGGAAGAAGAATATCTGTAAGGATGTCAGTCTTGATCCGGTGCCTTGGCCCGGGACATCCCGAATGGGGGGAGTGGAAGGCTTACTAGGACTGTCGGGTGCCTGTCGTACATGATAAACTTCCCGAACCTCGTGCACGACGTGGTCACCTTCCCGGAGGTGAGCCGCTGGTCAAGTCCTAAGACGCCGTTGGGCAGGTACACCCATATCAAGCGGTCTGCCCCTACGTTAGCACAGCCCTTGGTCTTAGTTCATCGTAGGTGTGTTGCTTACGGAGCCAGGCAATCGGGGTGCGCCTCAGAACTGGTAGCCTCCCAAAGAAAGTTACAAATGTCATAAAGGAGATGCCCAGTATGACAAGCGCGATGGTGGCGATGATGCCCATTGTAACAAATTCCCTTCCCCGAGGGTCGCGCAAACCATCGTCTGTCTATCTTGGTTGTTGTCGGGGCTGATAGCAACGGGAAAGCGAGAGGAAACAAAACAGATGTGGCCTAGAGAGGATCGCGGACCGCGCGAGCTAAGAAGCCGTTGCGACTTCCTGAGATGCGATGCGAGTCTTGGCAGTAGCCAAGCCTCACGTCAACGAGTGCGAGGACGAAGCGGACAAGTTTCAGTTTATATCCTCTTCGCACAGGCAGCAGGAAGCTGGTGAGTTGAATTTGTGCCCCAAGAGCCAAATTCGCAAGCTTGCAAAACCGCAAAGCGAGATAGATTTCGATCCCGCCCTGAGTTGGACGCCGACAGACGATGAGCAAGGAACAACGAGGCGGAACAAATTGCTGTCCCAGCTGCCTGGGACCACGACAGCCCCCAAACGCAGGGGACAGGGCAGAAAGGGCAACAGCAGCCAGCAGCCAGCAGGAGTCGCCAGGTGCCCCCGCGGCACCACCCCCCGCTTACGCAATTAAGCGAGCGCCGCCGTTTCCATTTGCCTCGTGAGAGCGCGACTGAACAGCCCCGCGTCACGCGAACCCATCACGCACCTGCCCAGCGTCACCGTATGCGTCCCATGCGATATCATGTAACAGCCGCATTCTCGCCTCGCCGACTCCCGACGGTATAAATGACAGTCTTACAACTAAAACCGGTTATCATCCGATTTCGGCTGCATGTCCATTTTTCTCGATTTTATTCGGCTTTCTACACCTGTCGCAACTGCCCGAACCACGCTTTTTGGGACCCATCAAGACGCGTTTGCCCCAATACAAACCTCTACCACCCAAGACAAAAGACACCGGTACTGAGGAAATCTGCCGAAATACTCTGCGGGGGGAAGCAAACAGCAAACTGCTGTCTGCTGTTCTGAGTTGCCCAAGAGCCTAATAGTGTTCTCAGTATTATTCCATCCGACACTTTCGTGACTTAGGGTTAGGCTTAGGGTTGTGGCCCCCCTGCTTGCCCTATCCTAAGCCCAACGCAACCCCAGAAAGTCAACAAGATGAGCGCCTCCATTGTGTATGAAGGAATCAATGGGGGCTATGAAGGGATGCTATGGAAGGGCACCAAGTTCTGGGTTCATATGCGGGTGCCCATGCGGAGCAAATGGGTTGACGCAATCAAGGTACGTTCCCGGCCAGCTCCTGTTGTGGACGCAGACAGCACAGGCTCACCAAGGTCTAGAACAACGGAGGGAAGATTGTGCAGCTGGAAAAGCTCGCCGACGTGTGCATAGCCGACCATGTTAGAAAGGATGCTCCTCCCGGGTCTACTTCGTGGAAGTATGTTGAGGACTGTCTTCGGGAGGGGGAGCTTGTTGACATCGACGGCTACCGGATCGAGCACGCTGTTGCGCCACGCCCTGCTGGGTCAGCTCAGCCCACAAAAGGCACCAAGACCCCTTTCACACAGCAGGACGACCGTCTTCTGATCAGATGGGTCCTGGAACAAGAGCGCAAGGGCGAAGCAACAGGCGGTCAGAAAATCTACGTGGCACTCGCCGAGAGGGTAAAGTCACTGCCCCTTGAGAATGGACAAGTAGCATTGCTTACTGACACAAATCAAGTATCCAAATCATACCTACCATTCGTGGAGGGACCGCTGGGTCAAGAAATACGCCTTGGTCCCAAGAGAAGAGCTCCCAGATTTTGGGCGACCAAGGTCGCCGTCGCCTTCCCCTTCGGCGAGGAAGCCACCCGTTGTTTCGCCGGCACCGGTAAGGGTAAAGCCAGCCCCTATACCGCAAACGCCCAAGAGTAAGAGCCGGTTTACGCCAGAGGACGACAAGCTTCTCCGGGACTGGGTCAACAAGCGAGTCAGTGAGGGCGGGAAGGCCAATGGTAATTTGATTTACCAGCACCTTGCGGCCGAGGTGAGCATCCGCTTCTTGTAGACAACTCTCGCTGTTGCTGACCGTTGTAGCATCCTCACCACTCGTTTCATTCCTGGCGCGATCGATGGATACGGCACATATCCAAGCAAGCCCCGCCAGCCGAGGACAACGATCTTTCCCCTGTCCCCCAGAGTGTCAAGCCGCCGGTTACGCGGCCAGCACGGTATTACGAACCTTCCCCCGTTCGCCAGAGTGCCAAACAACCAATTGCGGCACCAGCCGCAAGAACTCAGCCTAGACACCAGCCCCAACCACAACCACGAACACAACCACAACCTCGACTACATCCCGGACATAGTTTAGATTCTCGGTCACCGAGAGTCTCGGGGAACATGACCCCTTTGCGCGACACCGTAAGACGAGCGGATCTTCGCAAACCGGACTCGCCGTATATCAGCATGCCATCCCGAAGCCTGAGTCTTGCCCAAGGCCCAAGAGGGTCGCCTACAATTCAGCCCGCCGGCCATACACCCAACGCAAGCCAATCCACAAACCCTACTGGGCGACAACGGCAATTGAAGGAGAAAAACGACAGAATTCGCTCAGCGAGAACCATTCAAAGAGCCTGGCAGCGCTACAAGGCACGCCAGGAACTCAAGAAGCTTCGCAACGCCCAGGCTACCCTGGTAAATAACATCGAGCAACGTACGGCCGACCTGCTTGGGAAACACTCGGTCAGTCTGCACGAGCAACGCGCAGTCTCGTCATCGCCAGTACAAGAAAAGCTCCGAACCGACAAGGAGCAGTTCTACATCGATTTCCGCGGATTCCACGAAGCCCGGGGTACCAACCCTGTCCCTTGGGTACAAGTTGGCGGCAAAACTCTGGGAATATGGGACTTCTGGCACGCCGTGACTAGCACCGAACAGGAAGATCCAGACAACCGACTCTGGGAAGACATCGCCGCCTCCCTTGGCTTCAACTGGCTCAACCAGCCAGGTGTGCCCGCTCGTCTGAAGGCAGCGTATGACACTTATCTTCGAGACTTTGAAATATTGCTGAGGAGCTTCGAAGCAGAGCTCTACGGTGATGGCGCGGAAGAGACTGAGATGGAGGAGCCTGCGGAAGAGATCCCAGCTGAAGTTGTGACTTTCACGGCCGAGCAGTTCCGGTCCTCACCCCCTGTGCATGGCTTGAAGCGAAGTTTTGCACTCGCCATGTCTTCTTCTCTCGGTGGATTTTCTCCCCCCAAGCGGCGTCGGTACAGCCAGGATGAAGAGATCCCTTGTACGCCGGACAAGGAAGCGGCGCTAGCTCCGAAGACGAACGGTAAACCTGCTGTGCTACCCACAACCGAACCGACGCCTACCCGGTACAAGAACTCACAATCCTCGCCACTCATGCTCCCACCGCTTCCGCCGGTGCGAAACAGAGTTGTCGAACCGGAGACCCAGGACTTCAACTTTGGCCAGGTATACGATAGTATCGATGAGGAAGAGGAGGAGGAGGCTGAAGGTGCTACGCCATCACAGCAGTTGCGGTCTGAAAGCGAGGCAGGGTCACTGACTCCAGCACCTCCACCACCAATGCTTCCACGTCCACGCATTGATGTGGAAAGTCAGTCTCAGCAGGCGCCAATCGATGTGCCCGACGAATCCGACACCGATACCCCCTCTGAGTTCTTCCCCTCCCCCAGAAAGCTCACCCTTCCCCGCCCAACCGTCCAATCCTCAGCAACCCGCAACGCGAGCCGTCGCACTCTACCAGCAGACTGGACGAGGCCCAGCTCCCCTGAAACAGACTCCGAAGAGGACGAGAACTCATCGCCCGCCTTCGAATCGCTCGAACCCCCCACCCAACCATCCTCCTCGAGAAGATTCCTCGAGGACCCCCCACGCCGCTTCTCCGGCACAGCCTCCTTGGCAAGACGCAGTCCCAGCCCGCCCTCCTCCACCCCACAACCCGCTCGAACCCCTCGCCCCCCCGTCACCGAGGTCTCGATCATCGCCACCATAGAACGCTTTATCGCGCTGGGCTACCCGCATCCCATCGTGATGCAGTCGCTCATGGCGACGACGCTCGAGCCTGGCGCTGCCGGGGTGGTCATGGAGAGCTTGAATAGCGGGCGCGGGGTGCCCCAGAATGAGCCGGGCGTGTGGACGGCGGCTGATGATGACGCGCTGGGGCTTGTTGACCAGGTCGCGCAGAGGGGTGTCATGGGTGAGAATAGGCCGATGGTGGCCAAGGCGGGGAGGGAGAGGAGGCGGTTAGTGGATAAGCACGGCCTGGTGAGGATAGAGGCGAGGAGGCGGTATTTGAGGGATTTGGCGAGGGTGTGAGTCGGATGCGAGATGTAGGGCGGTGGTGTGTTTATCAATACCTTGGGAGTGATTCTTGTCAAAGGGGTTTGTTGTGGGGGGGGGGGGGGTTAATGATGGCGATGTATGCCTCTTGGGGTACTGGTAGCCTCGTGTTGACAAGGCCAGGCACCATGAGATGATGAAAGAGCTTATGATAGATAATACATGTCTTGGAGTTGCTCAACTCCTCGACATTTACGCCCCGCGTCTCCGAGGCTCCATCTCCTACTCAATTGTTGAAATCCGCCTAACAAGACCTATACTGCCCGTCTCATCTTCAAAGCAAATAAGGTCTCATGGTGTAGTTGATTGTCACGTCAGCTAGTCTAACACAGTGAAGGCCCCCAGATCGAACCTGGGCGTGATCATGGGAACATTTCTGATGTCGGACATCTTCATTTTTGCTGGCTTTGTCTCTATTTCTTACTTGGTGGAAGTAGCTTTTACAGGATTGCCAGAAATGGGCGGTTGCATCTCTGAGATGGCGTGTGGCGGCAAAAGATTGCCGATATCGAAGTCTCACTGTACATAATATGACCGTCGCAAGATTCGGCCAACCTGAATATCATCAAGGCCGTTTCGGGGCACAAAGCCTCTGGTGTGGCTTTGAGGATAGTCCTCGCTCTTTGTTTCTGGATGGGACTGCTGTCTGCATAAAGAAGCTACCCGCCTCGGTCCTCTGACCACCCGCTAACGGGAACGACAATAGCCTTGTATTACGCTATCAAGGGGACTTGTTCTCCCATCAACCTTCAGCATCTTTTTTTTGATCCATCAGTCGCTCAAGCTCCTGCGCCATCATAGGAAATTTTTATAGGATCAACCTCGTGGAGGTTGGTTATAAATACGCTGTCTGCTCTCACTTTCATGTACTAACCTTCATCTTCTTCTTTTCATCCGAAGCCATCGAGTCAGATCCAGCACACAAAAACCCAAACACCCAAAACACCAATCAACCACCAACACATCCACAAGCCAACGGCAAACTCCAAGTTTTCGCTATGGCTCCACCCAACACCAACTACGACGAGGAGCTCGTGTGGCTGCAGCACCTCACTGAGGGTACACTCCCCCTTGTCATCGCCATCCTTGTTACTGCCCTGCTCATCTGCGTGGCGCTCCATGTCAGCTACTACTGCCACAGGCGTGACAAGCGTTCGGATGCGGCCTATAAGGCGGACAAGGAGGCCCAGAAGTCACTGGAGGGGAAGGAGCCAGCTCAGGAGATGGAGCTCAAGGAGATGGAACTCAAGGAGCTAGAGCAACCCAAGTCTGAGTACCAAGTCTGAGCGATATGCCTAACCTTTAGGTAATCCTCACTTACACATCATTTAGAGGTTTCGGGGCTGCGGGAGAGGATGAGAGGAAGGTGTTACTAACGAGAAAAGTTGACAGCTGACAAAACCACAAGTAGGTGAAAGCGATGAGCTATCATTACTAACCTATCATAGCTACCTAGTTACAAAAAAAATTGAGGATTTCCAGATCCGTTATATTGAGAACAAGTTCCCACTACCATGAATGTGAAGAGATATCTGTAGGTACTTGGAAAATAATTTCAAAAAAAAAGTATAATGCCCCTATTAATAACCCCTCTGCCCCCTACTAAGCTAATAAACAATGAGGTAGGCACTTAACCCAACGACCCAACCCCATCACACCCTTCACACGCCATCTCCCGACCCAAAACCCAAATGATCCCCATCCGCCGATGTCTCGGCATGGCACCAACAACCAAAACTTCAAGGGCCAAGCCATCTGATGCTTTCCCTGGTCCCCCCTCCCCCACCCAACCCTAACCCTCCCCCTCTTCCCCCCCCCCTTGTCGTTCCACATTGCACGATCGCCATCCTGCCCTCAGGGCGATCCCTCAACACAGCCACACTCTCGCTTCGAGTGCAGAAACAGAAAACGGCGCGGGACGGCTAAGGGGGTGTTTTCGGTTCTTCCTTCCCACCTTGTTCGCCACCCGGAAAGCGAAAACCGCCTGCCCCAAATAGGAAGACGGCAAGTTTTGCCCCCTCCCCCCTTTTACCCATCCACCCGGCGGCACCGTCCTACGATGGTGCGACTTGTGTTTTTTTGCCTCTTATGGCCATCCATCGTCCCCTGATGATCCTTCTGCGGTTACATCGTGGCGGCATCTAGAAGCCTTCGCATCATGAGGGGGGTGCGGGAAGGGGGATATACTTCCTATTTCCCGATGCAGCGTTTGAGGTTTATTCTTATTTTGGGACCCAGGTCCAGGAGTTTTTTCTTCGTAGCTTTTTTTCCTATTTTCCTTTTTCCCTTGGCGTGTTCTGTTTTGTTGATTCCCGCTCGTTTCCGGATGATAACTGCCGACTCCATTCCCCCTTTCACAAACAAAACACTTCTGGGGAGCACATGGTAGCTAGCATTGGATGAATGTCTTGTGTATTGTGCTTCAGACCCTGTGTAATTTGACAGCACTTTTCTCTATCCTTCTCTTCTACTTTAGATATCTAACACGGCCATAAGATAATTCCTACATGCCGCAGCAAGCCTGAAGCGCCCCTGATTCCAAGCCTAGAGCCCATGCTAGCTTTGCCTTCAATTCACATCGCCAGAATAGAATAACCCAGCTCCCCTTTCAAATATATCAGAATTGGATGGCCGTAATAATTGGACAAGAAGGCAAAAAAGATTGTTATTGGATGCTTTCTCACGAACTCGAGTCGAAAAAGGCCGTGAGAGTCCAAAAAAAAAAAAAAAAAAAAAGTGTGAAGAAAAAAAGACAGAGGCAGAGAGATTACAAGATATTGCTGTTGCATTGCTTTGGTAACTTCTTAGCTCACACCCTCTCTGCATTTGGTCCTCGTAAGCAAGAAGTGGGGAAGCGGTGGGCCGAAAGATGAGAGCTCGGATTCAGTGAAAAGGAAATAGAAATGTCTTGTCCGGCTGATTGCCTCGCTGGATTCCGACCCGATCCGAATGCTCGCGTCCTTCTTTCGGTCCTTCTTCTCCGGTTTTTGTTTTCCGTCTGTCTTTTTTCTTCGTTTTAAACTTGCGCCCTGTATCTTTGCCTCATGTGTGTTTTCTGGTTGCTTGAAGTGAGTGTATTTGGTACAAATGGGTTTCGTGGTGCCGTGGATACCGACATCTACCGAGACGAGAAACCCTCGTGTGTGTTCGTGCGGTATATTGGCGCCGGCTGGGGCAATTGTCATGGTAGCAAGTTTCAGCGCACGTTCGCAGCGGCCTGTGCAGGTTGTTCTATCGCGACTATCCAGTTTACGCAAAAGCGCCAACAATTGACATGGCAGCAGCTAAACGGGCTGTCAGTTTCCGGATTCTCTGGGTACTAAGTAACCGTCAACTTACCTCCAAGAAGGACAAATGAGAAAGCCACGCTCTTGTCCTTGCCCGTCATGGTCAAGTTTGCTTCCTCGGAGAGGAAATCCTCGGCGAGCAAGTCAACCAGAGCAGCGTATAGCAGGAGACCCGAGGAGCTAGCCACGGTTAGTCAAGTAATTACACCCTCACCGAGAGGAAATAGGGGCACGCACATGGCATTGAAGACACCGACGATAATCAGACCAAACGCGCTGTTGGGGTCGTACGAGTTGCGTGCAAGGAGACCAATAGCCTGTCCAATGGGGGCCGTCATGCCAAAAGCGATGACCAAGATCCACGGACGCAGGCTGCCCTTCTTGTACGGGACGGCTGCGATACGGGCGCCGAGACCAAGACCCTCAAACATTTGATGGAACAGGATAGCGACTAGAAGAATGATGAAGCCCTCGATGGTAATGCTGATAGTCATGCCCACAAACACCGAGTGAAACAGAATACCGCCCTCGAGGAGAGTGATGTTCATTGACATCTTCTTGAATACAAGAGGGTCAACCGGTGCGCCTGTTTCCGGGTCACGGTAGGGCGAGTCACTCAGGGATTCGACGGCAACCACTGTCTGGCGCTTGGTATTGACATCCGTGGGAGCCTGGAGGGCGGCGTGCGTCGAGGTGGACCGGATCAGGTTCACCATCTCGAGGCGCTGGCGGACATACTGCTCGTAGAAGACAATGAACCACGCGGGCATCTCCGACTGAGGGACCAGCTCGCCGCCGTCGCCAAAGGGGTCGGCAGGGTTCATCTTGCCACCCTCATCGTACATCTTCTGCGCCAGCTTCTTCTCGTGTTCGATATCCTCCGTCTCAAAGTCAGCATCGGGTGTGTACCGCGGTGGGCGCTGAGGGGGTTGGGGGTAGCTCGCTACAGCTGGCATCGGAGGCGGCGGTGCGCGGCTATCAAAGCCCATGGGGCCTCCGTGAGAGTGGCTGTGGCCGCCCATCTTGCCGTTGAGCCACATCTCAATGGTGAAGAGGGCGAACATGGAAGTCATCATAATGACACCGGGCATGGCCGGGTACTGGTCGGTGAACAGGTCCGGAAGACATGGGTCCATCAAGTTGCCAAAGGCGGTCGGTAGCAGCTATATCCTGTGAGCCTCATATCCCTCATTCCATTTCGTGGCCGTGGAGTTCTTACATGTACAAAGGCGGTGGCGATGAGAACGCCAGTGCCAAAATGCTTGCAGATGAAGAATGCTTTCGCCGGCACATGAAGCCAGCTGAGCTTCTTCGCGGCGACAGGGAAACCAGCCCCAAAGATGGAGGCGAGGAGAACGAGGACTGCCAAGACCAGTCAGCCAATGCTCCCACATAAAGATACTCATGCCAAGCTCCTGCTCCATAGATCACCATGGCCAACTCACACAGCCCCAATACATGGATGGGAAGATCATATTCTCCAACCTCCTGGCCGCTCCCGCAAACTGGCTTTCCATCTAGCAAGCCCAAACCCGACGACGCGGCGGTGGCATTGTTGGAACTCATGACGCCTGAGACGCGCTTCTCTCACCGGAGAGCGAAAAATCGGGGAAGAGCCGTTAGGTAATCTTGGCTCCAGGCCACTCGCCCGGCGAGATCAGCGGTTCACTTTTGTGTAAAGTACAAGAAAAAGCCGCCCGGCGGCTCTAAAAGAGAAGGAAAAAAAGACCGGACGGAGTAGCAGGCGTCAATCCTGCTGTCCAGGTCTGGAAAAGAGAACAAGAATTGCGAAAGGGGAAAGAGGGGGGAAATTACAAGATCTAAAAAGATACAAATAGAATAGTGAAGTAAGTCCTCCCGAGGACGTTGACACCAGGCCAAGAAACAAACCAAGAGGGCCAAGAAATGATCCCATGCCGCGGAGGTCATTCTTCTTTAATACGCATGATGCTCGAGTCGACCAAAAGGCAAGCTGTGCCGCGAGTCGTGCACGGTATCATGACCAGAGGGCACCCCGGACGCCTCCAAACGGCCAGGGATAGATGCTTGAGTCTGGTAGCTGGGCAGAGACAGCCGTG